TTTGTGATTAAAAACAAAAAGAATGATATTATTGATGCAATAATATTAGAAGAATTTCAAAGTGCTTTTTGCCAGATAGCATGAAAATATGATGGAAAAATTTGGGATATGACATGCTAGACATGACACACTGGAGATGATAGTGCAATATTTGGAGTTGACCTAAGGGATGCCCAAAAAGAGATAGATAACACCAAAGGATGTCATGCTAGGTTTGGGTTTCTAGAGAGGATGTATAAATAGAACTTGGATGAAAAAATTGAGGATGATGGTGATAATGCATAAGCAGCACATGATAGAATACATGCATTTAGGCATACCTCTTGCGTTTGGTTGGCATTTCCATATTTATGGACAAAACTGCATACCATGTTGACATCGTCTATGTGAGATACTTCATTGAATTGGAGAGGATTCATGAGTACAACTAGGGATTATATTATTTGGTTTACTTCTATTCCAAATAATAGTTTTAAATTGAGATTGATGTTATATATTATTATTGTTGTTTAAACCGAGATTGATGTTATACCTTATTGTTATTGTTATGAGATTGTTGATGTTATTATTGTTGTTTTTTACTTGTTTTAATTAGCAAATTTTAGAAAGCTATATGTAGTTTAGGTTTTGTTATTGAGTTTGATATTGAGATTGAGATTATATTTTTGTGTTTCTTTGGGGCAGCTCTCATCTTGTTCTGCCAAAAATGTCAAAAAAACATTAGAGTGATAGAAAATACAGTTGAGTTTATTATATCTAATATTGATTGTTTGTTTCACTAACCCCTTTTTAAACATATAACCTATTAAATTGATTTTGAAAATAATAATATGAAAATTTATGTTGTATTTGAAAAACATCTTACACTAATCTAGGGTTTTCGAGCATTTTGTAACTCATCATTCATCTCTTGTTCTTTTATGGTTAAAATTTCTCTCAATGCTTCTAGTTGTTCTTCAATGAATAACTAGAAATTTTGAACGAAATTTGAACCATTAAAGAATAAGAGGTGAATGACGAGCTTCAAGATGCTCGAAAAACTTTAATTAGTGTAAGTTGTTTTTCAAATACAACATAATTTTTCATATAATTATTTTTTAAACCCATTTGAAAAGTTATATGTTCAGTTAAGGTTTGGTGAGGTAAGCAATCCATATTAGATATAATAAACTCAATTTTGTTTTACCCATTGGTTAAATGATAGAACTGAATGGTAATGTGATACACTTTTTAAAAATTTCAAAAAGGTTTTTCTAGGGATCGAACCCAGAATCATTTCACCTTACCCATTGGTGGAATCCCAACCGAAGGGTAATGTGGCACACTTTTTATAACACCATTTGTTACCTCGCATATGAAATTGAGGTAACACCTCATATCTAACCAATATTAAATGTATTATTTGTAGTAGTGAATGCGTCTTTGCAAACATTAGAACATGCTACAATTACATGGGTGTGATAACTCACTATCTATGAGTTACTAAATCTCTTATTACTTGATTTTATTTTGAGTTAGCAATATTTATTAGGTTAATTCAAGTATATTCTTGTTGTTTTAGTTCAAATTGTATATAACATACTATGTACTATCTTTTCCGAGTTTTATGGGTATGTTACTTATGTAGGATTGATCTTTTGATAAGTTCTGGCACGACAGAAATATTGTATCAATTCAACCTCACTTCCCAGTAGGCCTTAGATCCATAAAATATTGCAATAAGTAAAGGTCTCCAGCATTAGGGAAAATGTGTCATTGGTGTGAAGAATGAAGCACAAGCTAGATAAAAAATCGGATGGGTTAGATCAACCACTACAAAACAAAACATGTAAAAGTAGTTGAACATAAAATTTCGCATGTTGCTTGTCTGTTTGCACATCAGGCTTTCCATGGGACGTGTTGTCCTCTGCATGTTGAATTGTACTACATGTCACTAATTCGAGGGAAATCTTTTGTTTATGGGTTTAGATTTTAAGTTGCCAATCACGTACGTAAGCTAAGGCTAGTTAAAAGCTTATTTTGGTTTGAGATCAAACCGGTTTAAAATCTCAACTTGGTTTGTGGTCATCTTGGTAAAAACCCTCGATTTTATTCTTAAGTTCAGACCTATCTAAAGCTTTCTTTAATTTGAAATAAGTCTGGTTTAAAATCTCAGTGGTTTGTGGTCAACCTAGTCAAAACCTCGATTCAGTTCGTGAGTTCAATCAAGTTCAAAAGGTCACCTTAGTTCAAAATAATATTGAGGAAAATCTCGACTTGGGAACTAACTGCTTCAAGTTGCTATTGGAAAATAAGACTAGTCGCTTCAATCAACTATTTGGAAGGAAGACTGATAGATTTTCTCCAGTGTTCGCTGTTTGTTTGGAAGTTAGCCTAAAACTTCATTTTTTTTGTATAAGGGGGTTCGAGATTCCAACCTACTTAAAGCTCTTAAGAATTATTGGATATTCTCAAGATCAAATCTTGGAGAGAGGAGTATGTCACTTCTTTTCGGATGAACCTCTATAATGCATGATGTTCCTTATCTTACTCTTAACTCTTTATTTTCTACATATTTATCTTTCTGCTGCTAATTCATCAAAACATTTTCAAAATGTTTTTAAATTCTGAAAATAATTGTAAAAGATTTTCAAACTAGCATTTTTCTGTAAACACATAATTCACCCCCCTCCCCCTTGTGTGGGGAGTCACATGTCCAACAAGCTTCTCCACTGGAATGTTATCCACCCATATTAAAGCTTGCGCATTTAATAATATTATTTGTTCATGATAGTGTCTAACTGATGGTTGGTTTAAAGCATACCCACATTCATAATTTTTTCGAAGATTTTTGTTTTTGATTACATGCATACAGTTTTATGCAATATGTCTTATGCAGTAGACATGTGCAGAAGAAGGATATTTGCAACCATTTTTAAGATTATTGTATATACTCTCAATAGATACACGTCTGTCTAAAATGAAATAGGTTAGGTTGCTGAGTAACATGCCTTCTTTGTTTCTTGGTAAATAAACTCCAACCACCACAAGTCTCACCTTTAACCAGAGAAAAAGAAAATGGAAAGATTTTACTATTACCATATTGTGCCACTGTCATTAGTAATGTTCCCTTATATTTATCACATAATCATGTTCCATTAATTTGAATAATAAGTTTGTAGTATGCAAAATCTTTGATGTATGATTGAAAAGTTCAAAAGATTCGATGAAAGATTCTAGTTCCATCAACATAATTTCCCTCATTTTTATATGTTGGTAGTGGCTCCATAATTACCACCATTCCAGGAACATATTTCTAAAGTGCCCCAAAATATTATGGAAGTTTATTGTACGAAGTTTCTCAATTAGTGTTGTAGAGTTTATATTATGATACTACTAGGTGTATTTTTATTTTTGGAAACTTCAAGTTATATTATAAATATTATGTACTTACCTTTGTTAAGAAACATAGATAGAACAAGATCATATAGTTGGGATACTGCTTGTTTGGTGTGTCTTTATAGATCTTTGTGTAAATCCACAAAGATAGGTTTATCTACCTTTGTGGGATGCTCCATATCACCAAGCATAAGATTGGTCGAGAACGTCATCTTTGCGCTAGTCAATCGTAGCAATTTCATATTCCCATACGCATCAAAGTAACTTTCAAACCTCGTAAATATATTCATCTACTTAATTTATACTATTAGCTTGAATTAATTTATTTTTTAGTTTAGATGGTCCACTCGTGGGATGAATTACGAAAGATGTCCTCGACACTACATTGTGGCTGATAGATCTCTCTAAGATCACCCGAGACAAAGCGATGAATCACCACTAAACTATTCATTTCTTAATAATTTATTTTTAATATTAACTTTTAGTAAACTAACAAATACATTTTCAGCAGCAGTTTATTTGGAGGCCTATTTAGGTCTAGAAAATCATCATGCAAGAAATGAAGACGATGCGGGTATCTGTACTACAACAACGCCAATTATTATGTTCACTGCACCATAATGATTTTATAAAACTATTATCTGACATGGATCAAGACATCCCAGATCCTTTGAGGTGTTTCAAAAAATACAACAATAGTAAAGTCTTAAATTAATCGAACTATTCCACTTGAAAAGATTACGCCAAAATAGAGTGTTGTTAATGGAGGAAGCGTCACAACTTTCTCCTGACTGACTTTATAATGTCAACCAAATCTAAACCAAGTCCTCAAAATGTTTCGGTATAGATCAATTACAATTTACTTTCTGTCTGAACCAAGATATTTAGTCAATCCACATCAACGAACATCATTCTCAAACGCCAAACAAAACCAACAACAAATTTACTTTCATCTCCCAACGCAACAAAATTACCAAACCACAAACACTCAAATCTAAAACCAATATATATCTCACACACAATCACAAAATCAAAAATATATACCATACACCGAAACTTTTCATCAAACACATGAGAAGAATCAAACGAGACTCTACGATAATTAAAAACTCATGTGTGTGAAATCAATGGTCACTTAAATCAACCGCAGCGCAAGCAATAATGTAAAAAAAATTCTTGTATTAATTAAAAAATAAAATAAAATAAAATACTACATTGATTATAACGATGGTTTAACATTTAAAATTAAATTCATCGGTTAACATAAATTTACATCGAAACTATAAATGTGCAATAAATGTTTGCATGTTATTTTGTTGATAGTAATAAATAATTTTTCACTCTAGCTGTATAGGAGTAATATGAACATCAAAGGAACTAGTTTAAACAAAACAGTAAAAACACTTAAAATTTAACAAGCATACATGATACTTCCAAGTACAGTACATTACATTACACACATTGGCCACTTTATATATAACTAGTGTTTTACACAACATTAACACATGATAAAACAAAGATTACATAGCAAGTAAACCAGATTAACCATGACTTATAGCGTACATATATAGAATTACTACATTCTTTAAGCATTGCTTCTTCTAGAGAAGAACAAGTTGTTCCTAATCATAATCTCCAGGGCCAGGGTTAGATTGACCACTAGGAGGTGGAGATTTTGGTATGAATGGCATAAGAGGAGTTCCGTGCTCAATTGGTCCTGCATTAACATTCTTTGCTCCTCCTGGTATTGGATCAATTGGATTGTAATCTTCAAGACTTACGCCGGTATCGCCTTTTTCGTTGCTCTTAATCCTATTGACATTTTCCTGAAAATTCAGCCAAATTGAACAATTGTTCAGTTTCAAATGATGCGTATGAATTTTGAAAAACATTCATACCTTCAGTTTTCTGCTTCCTGCAATTGTTGCTGTTTCATCAACACATTTTGTAGCAACCAAATCTGAGGTGACATGAAAAAAATTAGGCTAAGATGAATAAAATAATAGTAGGGATTATGATAAATTCACCGTCAATTTAAACATGCACCAAGTTTCTATGAAATCACTGTGGATAAAATTTCTGTAAATTCAAGGTTAGTAAAGCAATTGCATGCAGAAAGATATTAGATTTAGAGGGATAGAAGATTTACCTGAAAACCAAGAGGGACATGTGATGATGGTAACTGAGAAGCTAAAAAAGGTAAAAGCTATGACAGCCAACAATAGCAAAGCACAAAAGCTAGAAACCTTCATGTTGTCCATTATTCTCAAAATGGACCAGCAAGTTGAAATATAAACAAGAAGTTTTTTCTGGTATGGTATGTATGGTTATGTGTTTTGGGTTTATGAGTTTTTTATGTGTTTACCAACTTTTTTGATAAGTTGTTTTCTGTGTCAGTAGTAGTAACGTCCTTTGGGGTTCGCACTCCTTTACAAACGCGCATTAAAGATATGATGAGTAGTCTCTTTATTCATCCACTGTTTTGTTTGCAGCTCAGAACAGAAGCCATTTAAAAGAGCGTTGATTAAGGAGTGCAACAAAGTGCTACTCTCTAATCTTACCTTGATATCTGTTTATAATCTTTTCTTACATTAATGATTCTTATATTAACGATGGATTATAGCTGATTTTTTTATAATAAGGTGTTTCATCTTCACACAACATGAACCATGATTCTCTACGGATAGAGAACTAAGCATTCATGCCGTTAGAGTAGTACATGTCATACGAATTAAATTAAAATGGTATTCTCTATAATATAGACGAATATTGATTTATTTTTTATAAATTTTTTTTTTGAATTATTTCTTTAAAATGTTAAAATTCTATGTTTTTGTCTCCTAAATGCAAAAATTACTCCGATGTAAATTGTTTTTTTATTTATCCCTCTGATTTAGTGTTTTGTTTTTAGGGGGTAAACCAAAAAGATAATAATTGCATGGGGTAATCCAAACTCTTTTAGAGTGGGTAAATCAAAATCCATCTATATTATAGGAAGTAAAGTGATATTAACTCTAAATTTAATATCTAGTATATTAGTAGTATCTAATGAAACCACACTAAGTATATATTTATAATCATGAGTTGTATACAATAAGGTAATATAATAAATATAAATTGATGACAATTGATTCTACGTCCTCTCTCAAGTCGGATCATATATGTCATATGAGTCAAACTTGTTACAAATGTAATCCACTCGAGAATCTTTGAGAGATTTAGTGAACATATTAGCCCATTGGTCTTCAAAGTTTACGAAATTTGTGGTTATTTCTCCTTAAAATATATTGTCTCTTACATAATGATAATTTATTTTTATGTGCTTGATCCGTTCATGAAAAATTAGATTGGATGCAATGCGGAGTATCGTTTGATTGACGCATATGAGTTTTATGGGTTAAAGATCTCCCTACTTAAGCACTAAGAGTAAATATTTAAGTCATGCAAGCTCATTTGAGGTTGTTGCCATTGCCATATCATTTGTATTCAACTTCAATATTCGATAGTGCAACTGTATTTTATTTCTTGCTTCTCCATGAGATCATATTTCCTCCAATAAGAACACAATATCTAGAAGTGAATCTCATGTCCAATAGTGATTTGCCTCAGTCGACATTTGAACTACTCGTGATTTTAGCATCACCATTATCTTCATACAATTGTCCTCTTCTAGTGCACTCATTATATGCCTAAGAATTTGAATAATTATGCTCTAATGAATATCACAAGGAGCATTCAAAAATTGACTCACAATGCTCATTGCAAATGTAATATCTGGTCTAGTGACTATAAGATAGTTAAGTCTACCCACAGGACGTCAATATCTTTCCGAGTCTTTCAATGGCTCTCCATGACTCAGAATAAGCTCGATGTTAGGATCCATAAGAGTATTAATAGGACGATGTTGTACCCCAAAATTTACCCTCCCATATTTCTCAATACATTCCAAGTGAGGTCCTCAAATTACTCAAGGAAGTCCAAGGGTTGACCAGACAAACTCTCTCCTAAGGCAGTCTACCTCAAATTAGGGTTTCATGTTGCATCAAGATACTTGAGTCCAAGGGATCCCAAATGCTCACCATTATCCTAATATGTTCTCAAGATCATTCATGTCAAGTTTTAAGCCTTGCAGAGGAAGTTTGCTCAGTCAATTGCTCAAAGGCCTAAAAATCGACTGTGCTAGGGCAAAAGTCAACTGTGGCCCATATACAGTCAAACTTCAAGATTTTTGGTCAACATTCACATTTTGAAGTATTATTCATCATTTGATCAAGGTTTTATCAAGATTTCTCAAGGATTGCTCACAATTCATCAAAACCCAAAAGTTGCTAAATTAGGGTTTTGTAGGAAAAGTCAACTCAACTTTGACCAAGCATAACTTTCTCATACTTTATGAGAAATGACCCATCCAAAGCTAATTTTGAAGAGGATGCAATTCTATACAATCCATCTTCAGCTCCCAAGTTTAAAATATGCACTCACAAGAAGTTATGAAGTTGGACATTATAGGTCATTTTGAAAAGTCAACAAACACACCTTTTTTGTCAAAGCTTCATACATGAACATGGAAGACTCAATTGAGATGAGACAAAAAGGGTTGCTTAGAGGACATCTTGAGCTTTCTAAAAATTCCAAGAACACCTTCATAGAGTCAAAATTGAAGAAGTTATGCATTGGTGAAGTTTACCTTTTTTGCAAAATTGTCAAAAGTCAAAAGTGCCCCAAAATTGCAATTCTTGTCAAATGGGCCCAACTTTTTACACTTGTTTTGAGTTTGTAATATGGTCCACGAGCAGTAGCTCTTTCCACTTGCCTTTATTTTATTTTTGCTATTTATTTTGATTTTTTATTTCAATTAAATCAAATTAAATCAAAACAAATCATGGAAATATCAAAACCATTTAAGTCTTAAGATTTGATGCATGTTTCAGGTCTCTTATACAACTAGCAAGTGAATCAAATCGTGTAAGGTATGGTTGTGCATAAAAAGATTGGTTTTGGCTTATTTTTGGAAATATTTTCATGGAAATCAAATCATGATCAAAGTTCATAATTGCCAAAGATTGAGAACACATTTGCAACCCTAATTCGTTCCTTGGTATATAGTGGACAAAGGCAGATCAAAAGCAGAAGGTTTTTAGGCATGTAAGAGGAAGAACAAACTTGGAAAAAATCAAGAAAAGTGGTGAACTGTTTTCATATTTCCAGGCAGTTTCAAGACTCCCAAGCCATCTCTTTCGTTTCCTGGGCACTCAAGGAAGCCATAGAAATCAAAAGCAAGCCTTCTCACGCGCTAGAACTCACTGTAAGTGGTTTATGAATTGGACATATTTTTGAAATTGAATACCATTGTTTAAGCATTTGTAGCATGAACCATCTACATATTCTGAATCTTTGAAGTATTTGTAAGCTAATGGTAACCATTAACTGCATTTTCACTGACTGTATAGGAATCCACCATTGTTAGGGTTTCTTGTTGTGTTTTGGGTTTTTTTGATACAGGCAAAATTGGTCCGCAAGAAGGGCACCATGATGCTCACCAGGCCAAGACGAATTGGTCCACAGCGTTAGATTCCATTTATCGTGCCTGTATATGATTTTACAACGTGCAGGGGTTATAACTACGAACTTTTGTCCGCAGGTAAAAGTCCATAACTTTTACCAACGGAGGGAGGTAGGAGATGATGGCGTGGCGTGGCCTGACTGGCCCATTTGAAAATTCGCGCGCTATAATTCTTATTTTATGTTTTTATTATATAATGATTGATTGTTGTTTAGTGAACAAAGAAGGCGCCTGGCTCAGTTGGTGTTAAGGTGAGTGGAAATTCCATAGGACCTGGGTTCGATCCCCAGGTCCCCTTGTTTCTTCAATGCATTTTTTCTATACGTGATTCCATGTGCAGATTCCCAAAACACCTACCATAGGCCATCAGCTAGCATCCACTGGATCTAAGGCAATTCAAATCCAACGCTGGGCATGAGAGGGTCTACCAAAGGCCCTAGTCAACGTGCAAACATGAGATCATGGAGGTCAACGTGGACCCTTGTCTTTGGGCCCAGAAAATTGCTAAAGGCACCCCCTCAATTTCTGATTTTCAGGCCCATTTTCTTTTTTCTTTTCTTTTATATTTTCTTTATTTAATTTACTTAAATTATTTTATTAACACATAAAATTAATTCTTTTTATCAAAAAATCAAAAAATCAATTTTCACCCAAATTAGACTTAGGTTTTATTTTTATCAAAAATTAATTCAATTAGTTAATTTAATTTATTAGGTAACTTTAATTCTTTTTATAAATAAATTAAAATCAATTAGAAGAATTAGGGTTTTTGTCTAATTGAATTTCTATTTTCTTTTCTTAAAAATCACAAAAATACAAAAATAGGTCAAATTTAATTAATTTCTATTAATTTAAATTAAATAGTAGTTAGGTTTGTACATATTTAATTTAAAACCTTATTTTCTCAAATATAAAAAAAACAATAAAAATGGTTTTTCTTTAGTTAGGGTTAGACGGGGTCAAAACCCTAATTTCTCACGTTCTCGATTCATCGCGCGCATTTCATTATTTTTTACAATATTGATGTAATTGCTCATGGTATGTAATAGATTAATTATGACTTTTTTCGTTTATGTATCGTTTTGTGGGTTTTTTTGGCTATGTGATTAATGCCTGAAGCCTTGTAATAGCGTAGCTTTATTTTCTCGCACTTTAATTCTCACAAATATTAACTGCTAGATATATGATAATAGGGTTGCATGAAAAGAATGTATGTTAAAATTAAAACAGTTAGCAAACTCTAAATGTGCAAAGATAATAACTTAAAATTGAATCACTCGCACATGCACGCTCCTAGGGTATACTCTCACTTCGGTTGCCTTCGGTAAACGTTCATTAAGTATAGGATATTTTAGTGGTCTCCCTTTTGTCTAAACAAAGATCAAATGTCCCGTTCGGAAATGTTGCCTCAGAAATGTTGCCTCGAATATTAATCTTAAGACATTAGAGTTATTACTAAGACGTCCTAACATTGCTTTAGTGATCGTACGTCCCTTTCGAATTGACCCTTAAAACTCCAACGACCGTGTTACCTACTCACTAATAGTGGGATAGCGCTGTCTAAAGGAAACAAGAACAAAAACATTCTCTTTTTCGAGTAGGTAGATGCTAGTAGGTACTTGCTCAAAACGAACTTTTTTACACCATACACTTTCAAACAAACTTTTCAAACTAAAGTTTTCAAAATGACTTCGTAAC